TTCTGTCATCAGATAATTTCAGAGATTTTCTCAACAAGCGAAATCAGTTTCTCACTGACATTCAGTGCCATTTAACGACTTAGCAGCCAGTGAATTGGTCGGATATTTCGTCTTCTTTTTCGTAATTTCAGACATATATATGTAAGATGCAGTCCTTGTGTCTTAAGACCATTCCTCCAACAATAAAAGTGTAAAACCATAAAACACACGTTGCACAAATTCTCTGTACATTACTACTTAAATTATCCTGCAAAACAGACTATTTGACTTCAAATGGTAACGATTCACAACTATCATTCTACCTCAATCTTCAGCATTACTCACTTTGAGATTTAATCATATTTGAGTAGGACTACCAATACATTGAATATGAGAGAATATTTAAGATATTTTAGATTGTCTAATAAACGACACGCTTTACAGGCAAGTGGACGGGGTGGCAATGGGCTCCCCATTAGGTCCTATTCTGGCTGATTTCTTTCTAAGTAAGCTAGAAAATGGACCTCTGAAAAACCTTGTCAGTAAGCTCTCATTTTATTGCCGATATATGGATGATACATTTATTCTTTGTGATAATGGTTCCGATAGGAGTACAATAATTACTCAATTTAATGAAGTACATTCGGCTATGAAATTCAAATGCGGAAAGGAATCCCAAGACAGAATTGCTTTCCTGGATGTCCTACTTACAAGGAAACCAGACGGTAGCATAAAAAGAAATTTGCATAGAAAAAGCACTTGGACAGGACAATATACACACTTTCACAGCTTCGTTCCTGTCAATTACAAAAGAAATTAAGTGAAGACCATTAGTCACAGAGTTAGAGCTATATGCTCTGAAGAAGTAATTAAAGATGAATTAAGCATGGTATATGATACTTTAATCGAAAATGGTTATCCTGACAAATTTATCAAGAAACATATGACAAAGAAAGCCGAAAAGGACTACCCACTATCTGCAAACAAGAAGCCACTTTATATACGACTACAATTCATGGGCGATATACCAAGCGAGTTAATTACGAAGAAATTAAGAAAATCAGTTCAAAGAACTTTTAATGCTGGCGAACTACACGTATTATTCTCTACACGACCGATGGCGCTACCTAGACTGAAAGATGAAGTACCTAGACTAGCCACTTCAAATTGTATTTATCAATTCAACTGCACTTGTGGAGCGAGTTATGTTGGCCATTGCTCTAGGAACTTGATTTTTCGTGCTCGAGAACATATCCCACTATGGCTAAGTAAAGGTGTAGTTAAAACCATTAACAGTTAGACCATCTGGTGCAAACCGCTCCCAAAGCCAGCGTAGAAGAATCCTTCTCTATAAAATCGTCGAAGTACCGCATGCTCCAAACAGCAGAGGCTATTGCAATTCGCCTCAAACAACTAGTGCTCTGTGTTCAAAAGTAGCAAGTCCAGCCCCTACTACTGCCCTGGCCCTCAGTAGAGACTATAAACTCATGAATTTGTACTATTACCTTTCCTAATTCTTCTAACATTCAGTTTATTTTATGTTGATGCTGTTCAGCTGTAATTTATCAATATTATTGATTCGATGTTATTTAAACATTAATGTCGTTCATAAGACTAATTCATTCATTCATTATAATGTATATATAATTGTAGAACCTGATGATGAATTTATCGAAAAGAGTACTCTTGATTCCGTGTCCATTCCTTTGAAAATTTTAATCAGTTAAACTAATATGTATTTAATTTGTTGTCACACTTTTGATTTACTGGTACCGTAACAAACGAAGACAAGGGCCAGGCAACAGATCATTTACTGAGAAAATCACGAGATATTTATAGATTTTTACGTACATTATTATTACCAGATACACAGCATCTTCCGATTGGTTGTTTTCCCCCTGAAAGTTAATCTGTCATCTCCTTGTGGCTGTTTCTTTGAAGGTCAGACCATATATCTGCGAATAGTATTGTACACGCTAAGTTTGCTGTGATTGGTTGCTGAGTTCCTCAAGGTTACTCCATGTTATTGTCTTCTCTCGTGACCCCGATTCGGGATGTAAATCAGTGTCTATAATTTTGGCTAGCAGACAGCTCTCACTATAGTACGATTGACTGTTAAATCGGAGATAAAACCTGTACCAGAGTACTGACTTAAGCAGTATCACATTAGTGTTAACCCACTGTTACTTATAACATCAACTTACTAAGTCATGAAATACTCCAGCTGTGCAGCGTCAGTGGATAACACCAGAATTCCTAGAATATAGACGGAATAAGTTTGGTATCCGTGAATCATTGGTTGGTAATCCATATGCGTTAGTTATAGTATGATTCCCAACAAGCAGTTGTTGTCTTCACTAGGTGGTCAAGTTTGCATCTCACAATTACCCAAAAAACTGTACTTTTCTATTATTTCAAAACTATACTAACTAGGAGGTCTTACCATACTGGAGAGCTGAACAGCAACAAGGCTAAAAGCAGTTATTATCATAAGGTAAATCATTTATACTAAGAGCAGCTTTCTTCTTCCAGAAGAAAAGAGGTCTTTACCTCTGTCCATTTCTCATTCTTCACCTTTAGTACTATTCCTCAAGAAAGTTCATCAGTCTTCTCTGGACTCTGTGATCGGTAAGCAAAACAACCTCACATCTTACAAATTCATACTGGCTTTTACGCTGTGAAGCTGTATACGTCCGAACCTAAGGTCAAACTGAGCACAGGACTCCATTTTCAAGAACTTTGGCATCTCGAGGAGTCGATGTATGCTCTATCTCTGAGACACACATGAGACCTAAGGATGATTCACTTTGTACCACCTGAGAAACACCCTACAGCTTTCGAGAGATTCTATGCCACTGAGTTTTACAACACAAAATGGATCCCAAAGAATAAGGAAAGACAGCTACACTCATCGATTGTTTATCTTAGTTTCGGCCTACGTGTCCACTAGCTGAATTTTATAATAAAGGATGTTTTATGACAAGGCTTTGAGTTTGCTATACAAAGAAAAGCAGTTCGATGTAGGTGATTTTAATACCCAGAAAGGGAAGCTTACATTGTCAGAAAAACATATTGTGGGGTACCTACGGAGTCCCATGACAGAGAACTGACAAAGACAATCATTTATAGTAATTTCGCTCAACTAATCAGCACTAACTTGAGATACGAGCAGAGATATTCTTATTCATTCATAGTCAGATACTTTTTCTTTACACATAGGATACAGAATTCCAAATATAACATCGGTGCTTACTGCACTTTTAATGACAATATGCAATTTCAAGTGAAGGATAATTCTTGATAATTGTGACTAATTCAATTTATGAATAATCCCCACCCAGACGGACATCAACAAAAACTAAACACCTAGTGTTCAGCAAAGAGGTTGTTTCCAGCAAATTCATTTTCTTTAGCTGTATTGTCTGTCTGTTTTCGACATAGAACTTTGCACATATGTGCGGCAGTTCAAGTCGCCACACTCCATGTAGCACACAAAACAAGAGAAGAAATGCATATTAGAGACAGTAAACAGAGGTGTGAGACAAAGGCATAGTATTAACGAAGAACAAAAGTTTAAATGGAAATCATAAGTCACAAGGAGTGGATGCATCTGCGCCAGCCATTGAGAACGATTTTGAGCCATATCACCAATTGTTTCCAACCATTGGGGTTTACCGTCCCGAGGACCCCAACCAGCCAGGAAGTCTACATCTTCCCACGTGACTGGCTTAAACGAACTGTTGTGGATTCCATTGACTGATGAAGCCATGTTTCGGTTTGATCACCACTGGCTCTTTTCCAACCTCACCCTATGTCAGCTAACATTGCCGGTCGAGGAAGGCGATGACTAGGCATACGTAACACATGTCCTAGTCATCTCAGTCGATGTAACTTCACAGCCTCGTCGATTGATTTCCCCTCCTTACCTAGCACTCGACCGATGCCTAACCTCGATATTGCTCACCTTATTATACCACTTCACACGGTAGATAGAACACAGACAACTATGATCAAAGACAGCTAGCTGGCCTTTTCTTGTCTTCCACTTCCAATGACCATGTTCCGTTCACAGCCAGCCATATAGGAGGACGGAGCGGACTGATGAGCAGTACACACGCCCTTTGGTCGATAGTCGGATATCACGTCTACGCCAGAGGCGGCGTAAACTGACATATGCAAAACTAGCCCTCTATATCCGTGCTGAAATTTCGTCAGAGATCAACCCGTTGGGGCTGATGGTACTTCCCAAATAATAAATGAAGCGGTCAACATGCTCTATCACTTCACTCCCTATTTCTAAACTAGGGATCGGTGTAGTCCAATCCTGCAACATCATCTTATATTTTACAGGGGCGAATCACATGCCAAACATATGAAGACTGCAGATTGCACAATTTTTCCATGAAAGAGAGTAGTAACAAAGGTAATAAGTGATTAAATCATCCATCTTATTACATAACTCTAATATACTTATTCGACTCCTCTTATTCACTGACTAATATTAACAATTATGATTATGACAACTCATCATTTCTATTGCTAACCCTCTACAGGAAGTGCGATTGTATGGCTGAAGAAAATGAATCCGCCAAAAACAGCCTCTTCACCAGACTACGTGTTCCGTCTTCGTTACTTCTGACCAGTCACACACACATGGTCCAAGTTCAATTCTCGACAGATGTACCCTTAAATTCCGCCTAGTTCACTGGTAGTCGATGAAGAGCCTAGAAAAGACAGAAAGCTGGGGGCGTAAGTCTCCATAAAAAAAACAACAATATCTCTACGAAAAGTTCAAAGCTTTAAGTCCAATGTTCCACTCGGAACGCAAGGAATAATAACATATATACTCAATTTCAGTGTTTCAAAGGTTATGCTGCATGCGGAACCAGAACATATACCACAAAATATGTGCAATATACAGCCTCAAATTCTGGACTAATTATTACATTGGTACAATTTATTTATAGGTTATTTTTCATCTAACAATTTTGTCAATACTAGAATATGTAAAAGTTGAGAAATAAAATCCTCATCAACAGATATATTTTCAGAAAAAGGATGTCAATCTGATTACAAAAATAAATAAATAAATAAATTATTTACACATATAGAGTGCATAGGCTATAAATTATTCACTACAGTCTGATTCATTGTACGCGGCAGTAGTCAGTTGGTTAGCATTTGCCAAAGCACCGAAATAAACTGTTAAAGCCTTAGCCTTAGAATTAATCAAATCCAGTTCAAATTCAATATTCAATGATTTACTTCTGATTTCTTTAACACACTTTATTGAAATCTCTACAAAGTCTGCAATGTTTGTATTGCGAGGTAGATATACTGCTACATTTCCATTGGTCAACACTAAGGCTAAATATAAAGCAGACCAAAAATCTGTGTCGGAATTTTGAAACTCGATATTGGATAATTCGAAACTTTCCAGATCCAAGTAACTGGGTCCACCCCATGGCGGTGACATAAATGCGGCCATATATTCAGTCTTCTTAGGAGATTGAGAAGACTGAACAGTCTTCTTAGAAGATTTAGAAGACTGAACAGTGCACCTTGAATGAATTTCTTTCCATGCCCAAGTGAAATAGTCCTCGCAGACAAATTCAATCAGATGACAAACACCGTAGATTTCGGCATTATGTACAGCCATTGCAATACGAATAGGATCACATTCAATTGCGACGACTAAAAAAAAATAAAATATAGTAAAATAAAACGTAATTCAGATATTCGATTATTATGCAAACAAACTACAGTGTAACTTGAGCACAGAGATAAAGAACTAGTGATCACATAAAGTAATTTGATGAATGGTGATTAGAAGTGGAATGGATTCAAGATATGCATTTCGTCCTGTTTGGGACTCGTCACTTGGATGTGCGTGCCTACAATCCCCAGTGAGCGAGCGAGCGACAGTTTCGCCACTGCGACTCAAACCCAATACCCTTCGTTTCAAACACTATCCACTGAATTATTATTATTATTGTATCCTTTAATTCCTAGAGGAACATAGGGCTTCAGCCGTGCGTCTCCATTGCGTTCGGTTCTCTGCTAGAGTCTTCACCTGGCTCCATGTCTGCCCACACGTTTTCATCTCCTCTTCACATGACCTCCTCCAAGTCACCCCACCTTAGCACTGACGACCAACTCGCCGCTTCCCTTTCGGGTTCCACTCGAGCAATGGCTTGTCTAGTGATGTCACTTGATGGTTTCCTCAGTGTATGGCTAATCCATCTCCATTTCCTTCTGCATATTTGTTTCACAATCGGTTCCTGCTGGGTTGGTTCGCTCCCAGAGATCCCTCCCTGTTGCTGATCTTTTCTGGCCGTCCATCTGATCTTGAGTATTGAGCGAAGACAACTGTTAATGAAGGTTTGTAGTTTGTTTGAGATGCTTTTTAATGACGCGCCAAGTCTCTGATCCGTATAGTGAGTAGCACTGACTTCACATTGGAGTTGAATATCCGGATCTTATTTTTGATGCTGAATTACTTCAAGTAAATTCTCAGACATCGTCGGCGCGTCAGTACTACGAGCCGACATATCAACAGAGATCCAACCAATTAACGGAAAAATTAAAATCATAATTAAGATTTCTCATGATTTAGCAATGAATGTTGGATACGAAATCATACTAAATTAAGGAAATAATTTGTAAGTGTTGAAAAAAAAATCTACAAGAATTTCAAGACAAGAATTAGGTAAAATCACTTGGATCAGTGTGGGGAAACTCTATATACGTAAAACTCTGTCAATGTGGTAGTGTGGTGAGAGCTGGCTGCTAGCCAGAGTTGGTAGACAGTAATTGACGTCAATGTTTATGTCCCCAATATTGGTGGTGAGAAAATAAGAACAAAGGCTTTGCGTAGGCGGATACAGTTAGCATATGGATGATCTGACACAGCCACAAAGAGATGCAAGGTTAACTTTCTGTGAGAAACAACCAATCAAAAGACTGTATTTTCTACTAACAATAATCTACAATAATGTACATTAAAATCTATAAATATGTGTTGATTTCCTTAATAAACGATCTGTTGCCTGGCCCTTGTTTTCTGTTGTTACAGTAGTATATATAATTCTATATTGATTTGTTTATTGGACATATCACAGAGTGAAGCAGTATTATCCACTGGATGATATTTCGAATACAATTTATTATTCATAGGCATTAGAATTGAAACTACACACTTCAAAACTCGATTTTTGTAGCTCTCTTTCTTCATAGCGTAGGAATAGTAGAAATTTTCATATGTCCACGGACAGATGTTGAATCGTTCTTATCGCACGTATTATTTATTTATTTAAACACAAAAACTTGGTACAATATGGCACCAAGAAGATGCGCCACACAATAAATCAACATAGACTATAAGTAAAAATATAGGTACAGAACGGAAAAAGTACTTCGTCTGGAAGGAAGACAGTCAATTTAACAAGTTCAAACAGCATTCGTCAATTACCGTCGGAAAGGGAAGAAAGAAGGAAACTGCAGTACATTCGCCATTGATCACGATTTTTGGCCATATCTGATAACGGTTTTCGCCACCGATTCAAGCTATCTCTCGGAATCCAACCAGGGAGTCGTGACGCACCAACCGATGCAAACCTAACACAAATATCCTTCGTCCCACGATGCCACGTCATGGTCTGACCACCTCTCTGCTCTTTCCATCCCGTTCTACGGCTAGCGAACGGAGACCTGTATGGAGGACTCTGAGATGGCATTTTTAGCACCTGTTCAAGTCACCGAAGACGGCGTCTCCAGACGACACTCAATGAATGATCTCCACTGTGTCCAAGCTCACGCCGCCAGACCTCAGAATTACTCACGCGATGATACCATCTAACGCAAGCAATCCTGCGGAGAAAGCGATGATCGAACATCCCAGCTCGGAAAGGCTAGGTTTCACAAGCTCAGAGAAAGACAGCACGCACCGAAGCACTGTAAACCTGACCTCTGACAGCCAGGCTAACGTCGCGACAGCGGAAGAGGTGGCTCAAGTTAACTCTAGCTTTCATAATACGGTTAGAAACCTCGTCCGTCACACCTCCATCAGCGCACACAACTACCCAGATAAACAAACTTATCAACAACTTCAGGCGGCTCACCTGAAAGAGTGAGTGCAGGTACAGACTCCTGACAATCCTGTAAGAGTACTTTGCACTTAGACAGTGCAAAGCATATACCATACTTACAGAAGCTGACCGCCAACTGATTAGGTGCAGTTTTGGCAGCCTGCATGCTATCGCACAGTAAGATGACATCGTCTATATACTCGAGGTCAAAAAGTCTTCCTCCAGGGAACAGATCTACAGCTCCAACACGCACATCCTTCAGAGTTGACTTCAGAATGTCATCGACGGCAAAGTTAAAGAGAAATGGAGAGATCGGACAACCCTGTCTAAACCCACTGTTGGTTGGGGACAGTGATGATAGCTGGTTGTATGCCCTCACCCTACCTGAGGTATTTCTGTATAGGGCTATAAGGATGTTAAAAAACCTCTCAGGTACACCCATCTGTAACAGAAAGTTCCAAAGCACAGTTGTGTCCAACAAATCGAAGGCAACCTTCTTGTCGGCCTGCAATACGTGTGGCAGTGTTCTAACAACTGACGAAGGGTGAACACATGATCAATGCATCCACGACCTGAACGAAACCCAGTCTACTCTTAGTGAATCAATCCCTTACGTGTTTTGCACAGCCTGCGAAACAAGACAGCAGCCAACATTTTAGACGCAACTGGTAATAGACTGATACCCCCTATGGTTGTCACATGTGTCACGTTGACCCTTTTTAAAGATGGGGACGATAATGACTTCATTCCACATTGATGGTACATCCTAAGTCTCCCAAACGTTCCTGAATAATCCAGTTAAAGCCATGCTAAGAATCTTGCCACCATCCTTAAGAAGAACCACGAGTAGATTGTCTAGGCCGGATGCCTTAAGGCGTTTCAGTACTTGGAGTTCCTTCCGGACATCCGCTTCGATTGGTGGGTTCGTAATATCCGACCAAGGAGCAGTGGAGCAGGTGACGGTGGATACCGGATACGTATTCTCCACTGATGCGATACACAAAGCTTCAGTTATCCATCTTTCCCTCCACACTGCTATAGTGAATCTTGCAGTTGTCATCTTGTCCGATCCTATTGTATAGCCAAAGTAGTAGGACAGGGTCAGTTAGATTTGCGGAGTACTGAAACCTGGTGCCTGTTGCTGTGAAACAGTACTAACGCCTTAAGAAAACTTTCATTTGACTACAAAATCTTCGCGATGTGGAACTTAAAACAATTAGTGATAAGTAACAAGTTTTCTGTGCATAAAACTAGACAACAATTTGTTAATTTCCAGTAAAGTTAGAACAGCAGAATTAACGGGACACAGTGACTGACTGAACTTGGCACAGAAGTGCAGTAGTTGAACTTGCCGCACTCCATATGGCACACAAGCGTAAAGAAATTCATAGGAGCTATAATGAGCAGAAATGTACTGGAGAAAGAATAGTAACTTGGGAAAACATGAGGATTTAATGGATCTGGGAGGCTAAAAAGAGTGATGAATGCATCTGCACCACTCAGGACGATTTTGTGTCATATCACCAACAATCTCCAGTCATTGATTCTTAGAATCCCGAGGACCCCCGTTAGTCAGTCAGTGTGCACATCCTTATGTGGCTCAAGCCTACTGTCAAAGACTTCATGGACTGATATCAGGTTTTGGATTGACCTCCCCTAACTCGTTTTCAACCTAATCCTATATCAGCTAACATTATCCGTCGACAAAGGGGCTATGGCTACCCATCTGAATCGATATTGCTTCACAATTTAACCGATTGATTTTCCCTTCTTATCCAGCACTCGACGTCTAACCGAAATATTACTCACCCTATTATACCACTTAACACAGGAGATAGGACGCAGACACCTGTGATCATTTCTTCGACTTTCAATGGTCATGTCTCGTAGCCATAAAGAAGGACAGAACGAATTGCTAGGCAATACACCTGTCCTTTACAAATACAATAAATTCACTGTGACAGGATACAATGAATATATTTCATTCTATTACCTCTTTTCAAATGTGCACAGGCCAAAAGCTTTGTAGTCTACATACGGAAGAACACTCCAAATACTTTAATTACTAATTAGAGTACAGTGCACAGTATTATCCTTAACTTTTATGCATTTCCAATAATTTGCCTTAACAAATAAAAGGAATTTGAACCCTGGTCTTGATGTTTTAAGCTATGAATATTTTCATCCAACAGATGATGAAATAAGAATGGTACAAAACCTTTTTATACAAAAAAAGAATTAATAGAACCTTCTTTGTTAGAACACTTTGTGCCAAGTTTAACACTTATGTAACAACAGAAGACAAGGGCCAGGCAACAGATTGTTTATTTAGGAAATCAACAGATATTTATAGATCATTGTAAGCAAACCAACACAGTCTTCTGATTAGTGGTTTCTCGCTGAAGGTTAATCTTTCATCTCTGTGGCCATTTCTTGAAGTTCAGATTATCTATCTACAAATTGTATCCGTCTACGCAAAGTCTGCTGTGATCGGTTGTTAAATCAGTCTTTCAAGTGTTGGTTTGTAGGGATTTGATTGGTTACAGGATTTTCATCATGAGTTGACATTAGTTAGAGAATCATTGGAAAACCTGAGAGTACTGGACAGCTGTTTCGCCCTAGTTTTGGGACTCTTCAGCACTTCAACACTTGAATATCAATGAGATGCTCACTAGTGACTTTCCCTATTCAGGTAGGTAGTTACCTGGGGTTCTAGTGAGAAGTCGTGACCAGTAGGGTGCAGTAGGTTGGGTGTGAGGACAAATACTCGCCGAAGACATTGTCTAGCGGTCGCGCTATGTCGTGAATTGGAAGAAGTTGGAATTTATTCAGTGGCCATTGGATCGGGTCCCAGTGGCTTAATGGTATACGAGCTCGCCTTGTAACCAGAAGGTCCTAGGTTCGAATCCCGGTGGGTGCGTACTGATGAAGAGTCCCAAAACTAGGACGAAACAGCTGCCCAGTACTCCCAGGTTTTCCAATGGTTCTCTAACTAATGTCAGCTCATGATGAAAATCCTGTAACCAAATCAGTCTTTGTTCTTATTTTTCTCACGACCCATATTGGGGATGTAAACATTGACGTAAATTACAGTCTACCACTTTTGGTTAGCAGCCAGCTCTCACCACACTTACATATATATGAATATATAATGAGAGCGAAGGATAATTTACGAATCTCATTAGTTTTATGTGTGTTTGTAAGTCCAATAGATTTTGTGAGGATAGTTAAGTACACAAAACGACCCTAAAATCCGTTGTTACCTTTTTGAGTGTTGCTCAGTGTGTGATGGAGCAAATTGACAATAATAACATACATTAGAAGTTCATTACCGCCCATCTGCCGGTGAGCTCCAGTGAGCTTCATACGCCAGTTGTTGGAGGTTTGGAATCAGGGTTTAGCCATCTCCCCTAGACTGTCATCCAATGGACAGTCAACCCGGTGAAGAGCGCCGGGCATCCGCTTTCGCCCTCTCACTTTGGTGAAAAAACACCTCCGCCACGTGAAGGCAGTGAGTAGGACTTCCTCAGGAGAGGCTATGTAAGACGCCCGGTCATATGGGACCAATTCAAGAGGTGTGCGGAGGGGTGGCCAACCCGCAGCGCAAGGCACCCACCCCCGACCATCCTGAGGCTTTGGAGGCCGTAAAATATGTGTGGACCAAATTTAAATGTAAAAAAGGCTTGATAAATGCATTCGCGCTTTATGGCTGTTATTATTATTATTTTTTTTAACCAAATACAGTTCCAATAATTCCTCCAGCAGTCCTATAGGATAAATGCGAATGTTATCTTTATTTATATTATTATGAATTCTGTCGCTATAGCATTCAAGGTTAATTGACTTAGAAATTATATGTCTTATTATTCAGGTATTGTGAAGCTGACTAGTAAGAGTGTGGTGGTGTGATACAGACAATGTGTTCCAACCGAGTATTATTCTCACATATTCCCACAGTTCAATAGGGCAGCATTAGCAACAGAATACTATATATGTATGTGAACATTCTATTTCACGTCGTTTAATGTAAACCAAAATCACACGCTCAGTGATTGGTTAAAGAATATAAAACTGTGTATATGTAAATAGCAGTTTGATCACTTGAAAATGCACCTTGGCTTCCGTGTCTTGCCTTCTGCTATTACAAGAGAGGTCAATTATACAGGGAATGATAATACTCAGCTACTCAGACTTCAGAAAAAAGAGGAGAATTAGGACCTGTGAATTACTATATTTGATTTGATTTTTTATTGTAGCTTGACTGAACACAGTATTTTTGATACAAGTATGGAATTTTCAGCACGTGACGTGATATCGGTAGCCCAAATTTAGCAGGCAGACCATTGATATCAGGTGTGCGTCGGCCGGGGATCGAACCCCTGACTATGTGCATGGTCGGCGAGCGTCCTAACCACTATGCCACCGACGCGCTACCAGTCAGAAGTTAAGTACTTAGATTTATGAACCCCACACAGTTACACGCTACTTCCACTATCGAGTAGACTTATTTGATAGAAAACTACACAGTGATATAGTATTATTTAGTTATGACGTTTCGAGCATAATTTATTGCTCATGATCATATCAAGGCACTCACACAACTTTCCAACTTTATTTATAATAATAATAATTTGCTTTATTCCAAAACAGTACTTGTGATACAGACTGGAATTCTCAGCATTTAACTACAGCATTGCATCCAGTTATTACATTGAAAATAAATAAAATTCTACATAGATTAAGGGTAATCTGTTAGTTTTGACAACAATATATTGGCATGTCGGTTCCACTATTTCTAATCCTTTGATTTGATTGGGTAGTAATATTTTCTATATCTATGGTATTAGTGTTGAGTCATTTCCTATTGCCTGTGTTAAGTGTAGATTCCATGAAGAAAGATTTAGTGAGCAACCTCTCCCTCTATCCAACCTACGAAGTTGGAAAGTCGTGTGAGTGCATTGATATGATGATTACTAGCAATAAATCCTGCTTTAAACGTCATCAGTAGATAATACTGTATCTTGATGTGCTTTTATCAAATTAATCTACTACACATCATGGAATTATACTATAGCAAAGTGGCTATGTTTCCATTCTTATATCAGCTACGCGCTATTTCTGACGAAATCTCAACACGAATACAGAGGGCTAGTTTCGCATATGCCAGTTTACGCCGTCTCTGGCGTAGACGTGATATCCGACTATTGACCAAAGGGCGTGTGTACTGCTCAACAGTCTGCTCCGTCCTCCTTTATGGCTGTGAGAGCTGGCCATTGAAAGCGGAAGACATGAAAAGATTAGCTGTCTGCGTTCTATCTTCCGCGTAAAGTGGTATAATAAGGTGAGCAATATTGAGACTAGGCATCGGTCGAGTGCTAGGTTAGGAGGGGAAATCAATCGACGAGGCTGTGAAGTTACATCTACTGAGATGGTTAGGACATGTGTTACGTATGCTTAACCATTGCCTTCCTCGAGGGCAATGTTAGCTGACATAGGGTCAGGTTGGAAAAGAGCCAGTGGTGATCAAACCAAAACATGGCTTCATCAGTCAATGGAATCCACAACAGTTAGGTTAAGCCAGTCACGTGGGAAGATGTGGAATTCCTGGTTGGGGTCCTCGGGACGGTATACACCAATGGCTGGAGACAATCGGTAATATGACTCAAAATCGTTCTCAATGGCTGGCGCAGATGCATCCACTCCTTGTGACTTATGATTTCCATTTAAACTGTTTTGTTCTTCGTTATTACTATACCTTTGTCTCACACCTCTGTTTACTGTCTCTAATATGCATTTTTCCTACTTTCTTCTCTTGCTTCGTGTGCTACATGGAGGGAGTGTGGCGACTTGAACTGCCGCACAAATGTACAAAGTTCTATGTCGAAAACAGACAGACAGACGCGCTACACTGTAACAGTAACGGTTGCCATAAGCAAATTAGTAATTGACGTCTTATTCATAATTACACATTTTTGAATGAAAAAATGCATACCTCGAAAACCACGTAGCGCCAGTTGTATGGCATTTGACCCAGTACCGCAGAATATATCCAAAACAGTGCAACTATCATTTATAGCCGAAGGAGTTGAGAGAGCTCGATAAATGCGTTTAGCCTGATGAACAGCTATTACCTCTGGTGTAGCACTGAACAATGAATCTACAAAATGGAAGGAGAATTTGCACACACACATACAAAAAGTAATCAACTAGTTAGTCAGTATATCCTAAATTTTTCTGTACAACTTCATTAAAATATTCCCAGAAAAAAATAACATGTCTAAATCGAATTACATCTTACCAGAATCAACCTCAACACCATAATCGAAACGAGAGAATAAACGATATCTTTGTGCCCAATATTTCTCCATTGACGAATCAATATTCGTAATTAACATTGACTTACAATTGGCTGGTTTTTTAGGCATCGGTGGATGGTAACGCCAAAAGGAACGACATTTGTATAACACAGCTGAGAAGGAACAAAAATATATATACCCGTAATTCAATCACGAATCAATCATAGACTGATTGTTGTTAAAACTAAAAAAATGAAATGTGATAAAATAATTTCCACAGAAGTTGTAGTTCATTTTGCAACGATAAAAGCTAAACTACCTAGTGTAGCTATGACTCTTCATTTTTTTTTATTCTAATTACAAAGGTAAAACGAATTCTTATTAAATACAGACTTTGGAGGACAGTAAACAGTACAAGTGTGAATCAACTTTTGGTCGATATACTCTAGAGTAAATATCCACGACTTAGCTAAGATTATCATTTGTCATATTACACATTTCACAAACAATAAAGTTACACAAAATATTACTTTTCCATTTTAAAAAGCATAATGTGACTAGATACTCATACTTTGTATTTATATAGGTTAGTGATGAGTTATGAAAATAGTGCTTCGTTACTTCAAGTTTACCTCCATAAATGACCTGGTATAGCCGAGGGTGAGACCACGCGTTAATAGCCTCTAACAAGCAATTTCTATCCACCGACTTGACCCAGCGCGGAGATATTTCTCACAAAAGTGAAAGGGATAATGCACTCACAACCAGACTGGTGGAGATGCTAGTATACACTTAGGAAAGCTGAAAAACCCTGATTCCCACCCAACTTATGGTGTATATCGCCTCCGGAATCTGAGAGTATCCAATGGAGTATGAATTTGTTTTGTACACCGGAAACCACGGGAATACAGGCCATGACTTTGCTCCACTGCCTTGTAAATCAAACTTAAAGTCAAAGACTCGGTGGAGAGAGGTGACCACCCCTCAAGACAGCTTCCGTCTGGGTGTACCGAGAATATCCGAACCCTCGCATAAACTAAGATTTCGTGTGATACGATTCCCGGTGTCCATGATGTACTAGGTTTGTGTTTGAATAAATAATTTCAAGTTTGAAGTGGAACTGTAACGACAGAAGACAGGGGGCCAGGCAACAGATTGTTTATTGAGAAAAAATCAACAGATATTTATAGATTTTTATGTACATCATTATTCGTTATTGTTAGCTGAGAAGCAACGTCTTCTGATTGGTTTTTTTTCTTGTTGAAAGTTATTGTCACCTCTTTGTGGCCGTTTCTTAGAAAGTCAGGTGATATATTTGCAAATCGCATTTGGACACGTTAAGTCTGCTGTGATTGGTTGGTGACTTCCTCAAGGTTAAGCTTTGTTATTGTTTTTTCTTATGACTCCGATTCGGCACGTAAACAGTGAAGTAAATAATTGTCTACAATTTTGGCTAGCATACAGTTCTCACCAGAGAACTACCGAAATAGGACATTATCAAACACTGAATTCATTATTCGAAATAGTTATCAATAGAAATCAGGACTTGAGTGTTGTACGTTTTAACATTAGTTAGTCAGAACAGTCCATTGGCGAATTCCATGATACTAACAAGCTCTGCCTTTCAATTTGACTTTTGGATCGAAATGGTGTCTGACTGGTTAAAGGCTCAGAAACAAGTGGAGTCATTAAGTTAGAAATTTAAGGTAATACGACATGGATATACACGCAAGCATACACACGCATGATTGGAAGTCATCTTTATTTTAATCACAATATTACACTCGATTCCTTCCTTTGAATTTTCATTTCCACTCCTTCGTCTTGTCTTTTCTTCATTTTTCTTCATGAAATGTACCTACTTCAACTGTTATACTAGGTGTTGTTCTGATAATGTCGGTTTGCGATGCAGTACAAAAATACAAATCTATATGGAGGAAGACAGTAAAGGCACCTGCTAGTCATGTTACGTTTAACTGATTTTACCCATATAAAACAAAATTCATTCTGTCTATTGAACAGATTTAGGTGAGTTTCAGTTAACTGATACTAGTCATTTATACACCTAGTTGAAACACAATTACAGAATTAGCCACCGATACTGCACACAAAGTCAGCCCTGAAGTTAAAGACTGAAATAGTCAAAGTAACAGATGTATAGTTGAAAAGAGTTATTAGAATGATGCATTATAAATTTGCGACTGATAACAAAAAGAACAAATTGAAATCTACCTTTTAGATTGAATGTTGGAGAATCCCAACAGCGAGGTAGATTTAATTGCCATTCACTAAATGCACGACAGCTACAAGTAAAAAGAAGAGGGAGAAGAAGAAGAGAGATCCAACAGGAATGACTGTGAAGATTAAATCGACAGGTTGACCACCAAAACAAAAAAACACTTAGAGATTACCACTAAATAATATCTTGTAAACAGTCAACACTTGAACACTAATAGTGGAATTTGAGTCCTTAGTGTCGGTCACCTCTAATCAACAACAAAAACATGTTTTTAATTGTCAATTTCGATAGCCAATATAAACCCGACCGACAGCAGCTACCTTGACGTGGTGGTCGGCCTTGCACATCGCAATGACCCAACAAGATACACTGGCTGGAACTATTGTTTCTGCAGGTTCTACCATGTCAGGAAGATTGTTAGGATAGCGATTAGACTAAAAGCAGTTAACAGCATAGTGTAAGAATCTTTCTTACACTATGGAGGGAGGGGAAATCAATCGACGAGGCTGTGAAGTTACATCGACTGAGATGGTTAGGACATGTGCTTCATGTGCCTAGTCATCGCCTTCCTCAACCGACGGGCAATGTTAGCTGATATAAGGTCAGGTTGGAAAAGAGCTAGCGGCGGCCAAACGAAAACATGGCACCAGTCAATGAAATCTACAACAGTTAGTTTAAGCCACGTAGGAAGGTGTAGACTTCCTGGTTGGGTTCCTCGGGACGGTAAAAACCAATGGCTGGAAACAATTGGTGATATGGCTCAAAATCCTTTTCAATAGCTGGCGCACATGCATCCACTCCTTGTGACTTATGATTTCCAATGAAACTGTTTTGTTCTTCGTTATCACTATTCCTTTGTCTCACACCTCTGTTTACTGTCTCTAATATGCATTTCTCCTACTTTCTTAACTTGCTTTGTGTGCTACATATGTGCACACATATATGCAAAGTTCTATGTCGAAAACAGACAGACAGTCAATATAAAGGTTTCCTCGTACTCCAAAGACAAATAAGCGGTGAATACAATTTCACAGTCAATTAATATAGCTGTAACTAAATAAAAACCATAATAAACAGAGTATTTAGCTGTGCTTTCTTTTCTTCCTTTCAGGAAAACACCCATGAGTCCATTCTGTGGAGCGAGAGGCATAACTTGGTACTAGTGATGACAAATAGACTGTTTGTTTGTGAGGACATAGCCCACGTACTCTGATGTCTACCACTGTGCAGAATACACACTGTTGCGGAGCTCACGTTCTACTTTCTTCCCCTGCGTGACTACTGCTCATTGTGTTATAATAGAGCATACTGCAACAATCAGTTTTTACTCCAATGACACAATTCCATTATGGATAAAATTTATTTTGATAAAGTCACTCAGTATTATACAGTAACATGTGTTAATGACTTTTCGAGAACAATTTATTACTCATAATCATGTCAAGGTACTGTCACACAACTTTCTTGCTTCGTTTATGTACATGACACAAATCAACTGAGAAACGAGTAGGCATTCATTCAGTAGTTTACATACTAGACTTTTAAATAGTAAGTTTGCTATTTGGAACCTACTAAATCCACCTAGGCTTTAAAAGTCATGCAGTGAAATTACACCACATTCAATAGGACAAAAGCTATCTGTAATTTGAAACGAGGCAAAGCGACAGGACCCGACGGAATTATTCCGGAGGTGTTTCAATATGGGGGTGACATACTAGTATGTAGATTAACTAAGGTACTAGGTCACGTCTGGGAATCAGAGACGGTCCCATCAGACTGGGGTAAGTCACTTATTATACCGATATTCAAGAAGGGAAACAAGTCCTCATGTGATAATCATAGGGGGATCAGCCTAACGAACATAGTTTCTAAAATCCTAGGCTCAGTAATCATGCACTGACTAAGCAGAACTCGGGAGGAACAAACGAGGGAAAATCAAGCGGGCTTCAGGCCAGGTAGAGGGTGCATAGATCATACCTTCACTCTCCGACAGATCCTAGAACATAGACACACTTTTCGGCGTCCAACAATTGCCATATTTCTTGACTTGAAGGCGGCCTTCGACTCCGTGGATCGAAAGGTACCATGGCAATGTTTGACTGTGAAGGGAGTGCCAAGAAAGTACATTGCACTAATCAAGGCACTCTACTCAAACTCACGTAGCCGTGTAAGGGTTTATGGGGAATTGTCATCTGAATTGATAACAATCAGTGGTGTCCGTCAAGGATATCCACTTTCCCCTTTGCTGTTTAACTTCATCATAGATATGCTAATGGAAGTATCGACTTGTTACCAGGGAATAGTCTTATGGACTTAGAATATGCAGATGACATAGTCCTGTTAGGGGAGGATGCTGACAAAATGCAGAGTCTTCTGGACACCTTGAGCAGCAATCTTCGTATGTTTGGCATGCGATTCGCCCCTATAAAATGTAAGATGCAGCTACAGGACTGGACTACGTCAACTACTAGCTTAGTGATAGGGAGTGAAGTGATAGAGCATGTTGACCACTTCACCTATTTAGGAAGTTATATCAACACCAACGGATTGATTGGTGACGAAATCTCAGCACGGATCCAAAAAGCTCGGGCTGCTTTCGCGTAGGCGTAGGCGTGACATCCGGCTGTCAACCAAGGGACGTGTATACTGCTCAGCAGTTCGCTCCGTCCTTCTCTATGGCGGTGAGACATGGCCATTGAGAGCGGAAGACATGAAGAGATTGTCTGTTTTTGACCACAGATGTTTACGATCTCTTTCTCACGTTAGGTGGTATAATAAGGTAAGTAATGTTGACGTTAGGCGTAGAGTATTGGGCAAAAAGGGAAAATCAATTGAAGAGGCGATAAAGTTACATAGATTGAGATGGCTAGGTCACGTGCTGCACATGCCTAACCATCACCTCCCCCGACGGGCATTACTAGCTGATATAGGTGCAGATTGGAAAAGAGTAAGTGGTGGCCAAACAAAAACATGGCATCAATCCATGAAATCCCTGACAGTTAAACTGAGTCAGGTAGGGAGATGCAGACTTCCGGGTTGGGTCCCTCGGGACTCTAAGAATCAATGGCTGGAGACAATAGGTGACATGGCTCAAAATCATTGTCAATGGCGCAGACGTATTCAGTCTCTGTAATCTTTCTTTCATATTCCTTTCCACCATTACTCACTATGTTTCACTCTTATACTTGTCAAAACTCCATTGATTCTCTTCACTCATCTTCTTGTCTACCTTTGTGTGCTATTTGGAAGGTGGCAATTCGAACTGTTGCACTTCGGTGCCAAGTTCTATGTTGAATCCAGACAGACAGACATTCGATAGGCCCAGTTAATAGTCTAGCAAACGAATTTGCGGATAAGTGCTATGTGGCATGCCATATACATACAGACGTAGTTCCTTGGGGAAAAAATGACATCATAATGAATTAATAGCTAAGTAGAAAGTATTCCAGCAAATAAAATGTAAAGTAATAATTTAATCTAATTCTGTTAGACCAACTGTTTCAATTCACTATGCAATATAATTATGCAATCAGCATTGACATACAAGTCTTGCAGCAAATTCCGTAGAATTCTATATTCAACTAAATGTAGATTCATCTGCTAGGCACTAAGAAGTATCTAATATATGAGGATTATTGACATTAGCTAACTACCCAAATTTAAGTAGGCTGAGTATGACTCAAAGTTATTACCCACTTATTGAGAATTAAGTGTTCAGACAAACGAACTACAGCTCTACACACAGAATTCTACCAACATATTCCCGATGTTACGTGCCAAAGATTATTAGTATGAGCTGTCAGTAAATAAACATACATGTGTGCAATAATCAATAAATTACGATTAAAGAAATATGAAGCACTAAACATATTTTCTGGCCAAATTGCTCTCAGTTTTCTATCTCACTTTATAGTTCTATTCATCTGCTGTACTTGATTTTCCCCTCTTTTTTTTAACTATTTGTTGCACAATTTATAAGCATGGTGGAGATATGGCTACCTTGACGTGGTGGTCTGGCTTGCACATCGCAATGACCCTACAAGCTACACTGGCTGGAACTATTGTTCCTGCAGGCTCTACCATGTCAGGAAGGTTGTTAGGATAGCGATTAGACTAAAAGCAGTTAACAACATAGTGTAAGAATTTTTTTACACTATCTTGGGTGTCTGCGGGCGAAGTCGCACTGCTGGGGTACAGGAATGTAACAGCAGTGAGGTGTTTCCCTTAGATGACCAGCATGCCAGCTATGCTGTTTCTCCACTCTGGAGAGAGGGGTTTAGAAAAGGTCAACCCCAACAATTGTAAATCCCGACTTACCCTACTGTGGGTCCGTAACCGGCAGTTAGTTTACTAATACGGAACCAAATCAAGAAACCAGATCATACAGGTCGTGTGTGACCGGCCTCAAGCAGTTGTCCCCTGGGCTCTACGGTCACGCAACACTAACCCTCTCTCTGTTTCAGGTACCTGAAGAATCAATCAACTTCCACGATGTAGGCAGCCGGGAAGTAACAGCCGCCCACACACTTCCAAGAACACACGAAGCCTTTCTGAACATCATTCTCCTTTACCCACATCATCTTCATCATCTTATTCCCCTACTACAATTAGTACTATTCTTTAGGCTAGTGAGGCATCTTCGACAGCAGGACTTCCCCTGAGGAAGCCTGGCACAACATACAGTTAGCTGTAGACACAGCTGTGAAGGCTGTTAATAACCTAAAACCAAAAGTTAGTAAGAGCCATTGGATCTCTACCGCCTCATCCGAACTGATTGACGCAAGAAGACTGATTCCGGCGAGCTCCGATTATGATAAGGAGCGGAAGCTACTCAAACATAAACTAACAAGAAGCCTTCGTAACGACCGTGAACAGTGGTGGGCGACAAAAGCAAAGAGATGGAAAAGGCATCGGCGATCGGTAACACCAGACAACTATTTAGACTTATCAGGGAAAGAGGTGGGAAAAGGCAAATGATAAGTGAAACAATCTCTGAGAAAAATGGCACCATAATTAGCTCCCGGGATAGACGACTGGAACGCTGGAAAGAACACTTTGAGGAGCAATTCAACTGGCCTACAGCCACGCTCAACCTACTGAACATCCAACACCTCCCTGAATGGGATATAGACACAGGTCCTCCACCCTATACTGAGGTTACTAAGGCTGTCACTAGTCTGAAACGAGGCAAAGCAGCAGGACCCGATGGAATGACTCCAGAGGTATTTAAGTACGGTGGAGACAGCTTACTGTCTGCGTTAACTAAAGTACTAGGCATCGTCTGGGAATCAGAAGAAATCCCGTCGGGTTGGTGTAAGTCACTGATTATCCCCATATACAAGAAGGGAGACAAGTCTTTCTGTGATAATCACAGGGGGATTAGCTTGACTAATATGGTATCTCAAATCCTAGGCGCTCGGAAGGCACAAACACGAGAGAACCAGGCAGGCTTCAGACCAGGAAGAGGGTGTATTGACTATACCTTCACCCTTGGACAGATTCTGGAACATAGGCATTCTCACCGGCGTCCAACAATCGTTATATTTCTTGACCTAGAGGTGGTATTCGATTCTGTCGACCGAGAGGTACTATGGCGATGCTTGGCTGTAAACGGAATGGCAAGAAAATACATTGCACTGATCAAGGCACTCTACTCGAACTCACGAAGCTGTGGAAGGGGAGAGTTGTCATCTGAAGAGCTGACAACTAGTGGTGTCCGTCAGGGATGCCCATTATCCCCCTTTCTATTCAATTTCATCATAGATGTACTGATGGACTTAACCCTAACTCACTTCAGAGACTCAGGGACTGACTTGCTACCAGGGAATAATCTCGTTGACTTAGAATATGCAGATGATAAAGTCCTTGTAGGTGAAGACGCTGACAAAATGCAGAGTCTTCTGAACACCTTGAGCTGCAATCTACGAATGTTTGGCATGCGATTCGCTCCCGCCAAATGTAAGATGATGTTACAGGACTGGACTACACTGACTCCTAGTTTAGAAATAGGGAGTGAAGTGACCGCTTCATTTGATATTTGGGGAGTTGCATTAGCCACTGCCAACGGGTTGATCGCTGACAAAATCTCAGCACGGATACAGAAGGCTAGTTTCGCACTTGCCAGTTTACGCCGTCTTTGGCGTATATGTGATATCCGGCTATCGACCGAAGGGCGGGTGTACTGCTCAGTAGTCCGCTCCGTCCTCCTTTATGGCTGGTTGTGAGCGAAACATGGTCACTGGAAGTGGAAGACAAGAAAAGGTTGGCTAGCTGTCTTTGATCATAGTTGTCTGTGTTCTATCTACCGTGTGAAATGGTATAATAAGGTGAGCAATATTGAGGTTAGGCATCGGTCGAGTGCTAGGTAAGCAGGGGAAATCAATCGACGAGGCTGTGAAGTTACATCGACTGAGATGGTTAGGACATGTGTTACGTATGCTTTATCATTGTCTTCCTAGAGGGCAATGTTAGCTGACATAGGGTGAGGTTGGAAAAGAGCCAGTGGTGATCAAACCAAAACATAGCTTCATCAGTCAATGGAATCCACAACAGTTAGTTTAAGCCAGTCACGAGGGAAGATGTAGACTTCCTGGTTGGGGTCCTCGAGACGGTAAACACCAATGGCTGGCGCAGATTCATCTACTCCTTTCGACTTATGATTTCCAATGAAACTATATTGTTCTTTGTTATTACTATTCCTTTGTCTCATATCCTTGTCTACTGTCTCTGTTATGCATTTCTTCTACTTTCTTCTCTTGCTTTGTGTGCTACATGCAGTATGGCGACTTGAACTGCTTCACATCGGTGCAAAGTTCTGTGTTCAAAGCAGACAAACAGAATTGGCCTAGGTACTTGGTTTTCAGTCAATGGATCCCGCTCCACCTACTTTTGTCTGTGCAACTAGGCAGTATCATCAACCCTCACACGATAAGTGTGCCTCTCAGCCTGGTACATGTAAAATCTGTTCTGGATAATTGAGGTTAAAAACAACACTTTAATGGCATGATACACATCAAAATGTCACGTTTCATACAGTTTGATTAAACTAATTGAAAAGTAATCTAATAAAAACTTTTGTACAAAAAACCACTTTAATATACAGCAATCCAATGAAATGAAAATAGTTTTCAAAAACTTACCTATTATTACTAGTAATATGGTCGTAGTCGGTAAATATACAAACCATCTCGAACAGATAACACATTCTTGAGAAAATTGACGACGCACAAACACATGGATCAACCATACTTTTCAATTCTACAGATGGACTGGGAAATGATCCAGTGCATTTCCCAAGACTTTCAATGTCAATATCTACGGGGTATTTTTTACATGAACAACCAGAAAAATGTAAAGCCTTAGTTGGAATCTCCGTACAAATAACGGGGGACATTCAAAATATCAACATGTAAGGCAGTAACAACACTTTGTGAAAATCAAATTTTTTTTAAACCATTAATAGATCATTTAGTTTCAATTTGATCGTAATCTTAGGAAAATCTCCCAATGATTCTCTCAAAAATGGTTCGTTCTACTTATATATATAAGCTGGATTCATGAAAAGCAAATCATGTGCTGATCAAATTGCAACTTTACTCACCATCCCGACCGAAAGCTGCTACCTTGACGTGGTGGTCGGGCTTGAACAGTGCAATGACCCAACAAGCTATACTGGCTGGAACTTATGTTCCTGCAGGTCCTACCATGCCAGAAAGGTTGTTTGGATAGCAGTTAGACTAAAAGCAGTTACCCAATCCAATCCTATGATTTCAAATAAATCACAAAATATCATGCCGGATCGGTCGGGGCCCGGATTAACAACGACCGCGCTTTCTGCTGCCGTGTCACAGGGCAGAAGTGATAAGTACGCTACTGAGACACACCATATAAAAAAGAACAAACAAAAACAGGCCGTGTTTGACCGGCCTCAAGCAGTTGTCCCCTGGGCTCTGCGGTCACGCAACCAACTTCCACGGTGTGGGCAGCCGGGAAGTAACAATCGCCCTCACAATCCGAAGTGCACGCGAAACCCCTCTAATCCTCGCTCATCTTTGTCTTCATCTTCATCTCTATTATCTTGCCTTCCTTCTACCAATGCAACTCCTCTACTTGTTGGCTCTTCACTTCCCCTTCACTCTGTGTGCACTGATAACGATGGAAGCCAAAAAGCCACCACCGATTGTCTCCTAAAACCACGCCACCAATTTTATATAGGAGCATTTAATGTTAGGACACTTTGCCAAATAGGACAACAAGCATCACTAGCCAAGACTCTGGCATCCCGAGCCATTGATGTATGCTGTGTTTCAGAAACACGCATACAAGACCCAAGTGTGGTTATTCACCTAACCCCACCTGGCCAACAGGATGAATCTGCAAAATTCACCTTGAGGGTGTCAGGAGATGCGACGGCTAGCTCACGAGGATTAGCTGGTGTTGGGATAGCTTTAAGTACTAGAGCAGAAAAGACATTACTTGACTGGATCCCGGTAGATAGCCGAATGTGCGCTGTCCGCCTGAACGGATCAGTGAAAAGGAGAAAGGACTGCACTACTCGCCGATGCCTTTTCGTAATCTCCGCCTACGCCCCCACTGACTGCAGTTCGGATGAAACGAAGGATGAGTTCTACCAAAAGCTGTCTAGTTTGCTGCGAAAGGCTAGACGCTCAGATATAGTCGTTTTAGCTGGTGACTTTAATGCTCAAGTAGGGAAATTGTGTCAATCTGAGAAGAATGTTGGTGGCACATACGGAATTCCGTGCCAGCGAACCGACAACGGTGACCGTCTCCTACAGTTCTGTTCAGATAATCATTTGTATCTTGTAAGCACTAACTTCAAACACAAGGAGAGACACTGTTTGACCTGGCGACCCTCATCATCAAATCAACGCTGGACACAAATAGACCACATAGCAATAAGCTATCGTTGGCGTGGGTTGGTAGGAGATTGTCGCTCCTTCTGGAACACGTGTGTGGATACCGATCACGCACTGGTCCGCGCTCGTGTGTGCTTACGACTGAACGGACGTAGGAAACAGCGAGCGGTAAACCCATCACGTCTTCAGCTTGACCAGGGAACTAAGTCCCTATTTGAGGAAGAACTAGCTAAACACATATCTGAGTTCGACAGCTGTGCTCACCCTGAAGAAGCCTGGAAGAATATTCAGTCAGCCATAGATACAGCTGTAAAAGCTGTGAATAAGGTAATTCCAAAGGTGAGTAAAAACCACTGGATTTCGACTGCCTCATCCGAACTGATAGATGCTAGAAGACTTATCCCGGCGAGCTCCGAATTCAATGAGGAGCGAAAGCTGCACAAGAGGAAACTTACGAAAAGTCTCCGCAAGGACCGTGAACAGTGGTGGGCGACAAAGGCGAAAGAGATGGAAAAAGCATCGGCGATAGGCAACACCAGACAACTATTCAGGCTTATCAGGGAAACAGGTGGTAAAAAACAAATGATAAGCGAAACAATCTCCGAGAAAAATGGCACCATAATTAGCTCCCAGGATAGACGTCTGGAGCGCTGGAAAGAACACTATGAGGAGCAGTTTAATTGGCCCACAGCCACACTTAACCTACCGGACATCCAACACCTCCCTGAATGGGAGATAGACACAGGTCCTCCGTCCTTAACCGAGGTTACTAAAGCTGTCACCAATCTGAAGCTAGGCAAAGCAGCGGGACCTGATTTATTGACTCCAGAGGTATTTAAGTACGGAGGCGACAGTTTACTGTCTGCGTTAACGGAGGTTCTAGGCAGCGTCTGGGAATCAGAGGAAGTCCCATCGGGTTGGTGTAAGTCACTGATCATCCCGATATACAAGAAGGGGGACAAGTCGTCTTGTGATAATCACAGAGGGATTAGCTTGACTAATATAGTATCTAAAATCCTAGGCTCAATAATACTGCGTAGATTAAGTGGTGCTCGTGAGACACAAACACGAGAAAACCAGGCAGGTTTTAGGCCAGGTAGAGGGTGTATTGATCACATCTTCGCCCTTCGACAGATTCTAGAACATAGGCATTCCTACCGGCGTCCGACAATCATTATATTTCTTGACCTAAAGGCGGCATTCGATTCTGTCGACCGGGAGGTTCTCTGGCGATGCTTGGCTGTAAAGGGAATGCCAAGAAAATACATTGCATTGATTAAGGCACTCTACTCATTCTCATGCAGCCAGGTGAGGGCTTATGGCGAGTTGTCATCTGAAGTGGTGACGACTAGTGGCGTCCGTCAAGGATGCCCATTATCCCCATTCCTATTCAATTTCATCATAGATGTACTAATGGACTTAACCCTAACTCACTTCAGCGACTCAGGGATTGACTTGCTACCAGGGAAGACTCTCGTTGACTTAAAATATGCGGACGATATAGTCCTTCTAGGCGAGGACTCTGACAAAATGCAGAGTCTACTGAACACCCTGAGCAACAATCTTCGCATGTTTGGCATGCGATTCGCCCATATAAAATGTAAGATGATGCTGCAGGATTGGACTTCATCGACCCCTAGATTAGAAATAGGAAGTGAAGTGGTAGAACACGTTGACCGCTTCACTTACTTGGGAAGTACCATCAGCCCCAACGGGTTGATCTCCGACGAAATTTCAGCACGAATACAGAGGGCTAGGTTCGCATTCGCCAGTTTTCGCCGTCTCTGGCGTAGACGCGATATCCGACTATCGACCAAAGGGCGTGTGTACTGCTCAACAGTCCGCTCCGTCCTCCTTTATGGCTAGCTGTGAGACCTGGCCATTGAGAGCAGAAGACATGAAAAGATTAGCTGTCTTCGATCATAGGTGTCTGCGTTCTATCTCCCGCGTGAAGTGGTATAATAAGTTGAGCAATATTGAGGTTAGGCGTCGAGTGCTAGGTAAGGCGGGGAAATCAATCGACGAGACTGTGAAATTACATCGACTGAGATGGTTAGGACATGTGCTACGTATGCCTAGTCATCGCCTTCCTCGACGGGCAATGTTAGCTGATAATATGGGGACAGGCTGGAAAAGAGCTAGCGGCGGTCAAACCAAAACATGGCACCAGTCAATGAAATCTACAACAGTTAGTCTAGGCCACGTAGGAAGGTGTAGATTTCCTGACTGGTTGGGGTCCTCGGGACGGTAAAAACCAATGGTTGGAAACAACTGGTGACATGGCTCAAAATCGTTCTCAGTGGCGCAGATGCATCCACTCCTTGTGACTTATGATTTCCAATTAAACTTTTGTTCTCCGTTATTACTATTCCTTTGTCTCACACCTCTGTTTACTGTCTATATTATGCATTTCTTCTACTTTCTTCTCTTGCTTTGCGTGCTACATAGATTGTGGCGACTTGAACTGCCGCACATATGTGCAAAGTTCTATGTCGAAAACCGACCGACCGACCGACCGAATAGAGCATAGAATGCCAGTCAAGTCAGTACCTTAATTTCATCGACTTTGAAAAAGCCTTCGACAGAGTTGCCCGCGAAGTAATTTGGAAATTACTTCCACACTATGGAGCGCGATGCCCCAAATCTTTATCAACCTCATTCAACAGCTATATGACAATGTCACTTGTCAGGTGATCCACAACGGTAAACTAAGTGAAACCTTCAAAGTGAATACAAGAATAAAACAAGGTTGTATGTCTACTATCCCCGATGATATTTCTAATTGTGGTGGACTGTATTATGCGGGACAGTGTTCGTGGGGAGCGAGGAAACGGGAATACTTTAGACTGATAAGGAGACTCTAGAAGATCTTGACTTTATGGAGGATTTACCTATGTTTCACTCGGAACCCAAGGGGACAACAATACTATGTATGTATCTATGTATGTTTACGGGAATTGTTAAAGCATTCAACGGGAATTAATTAGAAGACAAACGAAAAGACATATTCGCATTGACTCACCAGAAAGACTATAGAGCTTAGTTGTTTTGTTCCGCAGTGCGAGATTATTTTCGAGCCTACTAGCAAAGAATAACAGCCACTGGTCATCTTCATCATCCTCGTCATCCTCATAGAAATCTGATGAAAGGTCTACAGGCCTAGTAAAAGTATATGTGTATAACTAGAATAGTTTTTTTGCATACATATATGTAAGTTAGTCACAATTAAAACAAATTTCAAGCTAAAGCTTATGGGAAAACTAATACTTCTTAAACTCGAACCCTCCCTTAAAAACTTCGAAGACCCAAAACAATTTGCCTATAGACAGGGTAGGAGTACATTAGACGCTGCAGCTGTCTTACACAACAACATCGTCTCATCATTAGATAAAGGTGCCAAATACGTCCGCTGCACGTTTCTTGACTTCACTTCTGCTTTCGACTCTGTTCCTAGATGTCTCCTGATAAATAAGCTCTCTTTGACGAAAACTGAGTCCTGGGTCACCAACTGGTTGCATTCCTACTTCTCAAACAGAATGCAGTACACCGTATACAAAGGTAAATCGTCCTCTGCTGCACTCACTGAAGCCGGAGTCCCCCAAGGCGCTGTACTCTCCCCACTTCTCTTTTCTTTCTTTCTACATGACTTACCATCTTCAAACGACATTAATTTTGTCAAATACGCTGACGATCTGTCTGTATCTTTGCCTATCAAATGTCAAAGCGACTGCTCTAAACTTAATGGCTTTCTGTCAGAAATCAGCCAGTGGTCCAAGGAAAATGGTCTTACCCTAAACCCCTCCAAATGCCAAACAGTCAATTTCACCTTTAGGCATAAATCCGACCTAAACAAACTGTTTGGCTCTCATGAGGTATGCAACATAGACGGCACTGAAATAGAAACTAAATCGGAAATTAAATACCTAGGTGTCATTCTATCTGCTGATCTCTCCTGGTCGTCTCATATCTTAGCAATTTCTAAGAAAATTTTCCGTCTTACCTTCTACATTAAGAAGTTAAAACATTCTGGTATTACCCAACCCTTACTCCTACAATTCGTTAATTCTCGCATCCTGCCTATTATTCTCTATTGTTCCCCCTTAGTTTTTCCCGGGCTACTGAAGAAAGACTATAACATATTACGCAGGATGTTAAATGTCGTCAGCAGAGTAAGCAACGTGCCACTTAACCAGCTTGTTAATATCTTGGTTGACAGGCACATGGACTCATGTGAAAAATGGGCCAAATCCATCTTATCTAACTCACACCACCCTCTTCACTCACAACTCTCCCCTTGCATCTCATCAGGTAAAACAAGAAGCCAATATAGAAAACTATATGCTCGCACCAGCAAATACAAAAACTCAACCATACCCTACTTAGCTCGTGTTCTGTGTGATAAAGAAAGCATCAGGCGTGACACCTATAATTCTTTAAATAGTCAGTAGTACAAGTGGATCTCATCTTTCCAACCCACTTCACCAATAGGTACAACATTTTCTTTCTTTCTTTTCCTTTTCTCTCTCTTCTTTTTCCGTTATGTGCTGCTTTGTCTCTTTCTCTCGCTTACGCCTGTTAATAAGACAGCTCCCACTTTTCTAACACCTTCAAACACTGTTTCAGCTTTACCTTTGCTACTGACATGCCAATGTATTGTTGTAATAATGAACTGCGGTTTCCTCAATCTATGTAGAATTCTATTTATTGATAATGTACAAACTGGATGCAATACTGTAGTAAAAATGCTGAGAATTCCATTCTGTATCACAGGTACTATTTTGGAATAAAGCAAATTATTATTATTATTATTAATACGACCTGTAACTCATGGAATAAAATGAAATTTGCATTTCCTTTAATTGTCGGATATAGATCTTAAAAGCGTTAAAGAAAAAAATCCAAAGATTCATTCGTGAAATCTTTTCATTGATATACTGCAGAAGCAGCATTGACCAATAATTGACCAAGTGAATACTGACTGATAAATCAGCTAAAAATGATAACCTGTGACTGGTTTAAAGGCGTTCTTTTTGAAAATGAAACTGTCAACTAGTTACAGTACACTTGCAACTGCATTTGAAAATAAAGAAAACAGAACTGACAGACCAAACACGGATTTCCTGTTGCATGTTAAATAAAGTAAGTACCACTTATACACAAATTTCCACCACCAGCACAATTTGAGAGTATCTATCCCACCAAATGAGAGACAGATCACACTCAGATATGATCGATTGAGAAATTTATTTAACACACCAAAATTAGTGTCTATCCCAGTGCTCAGAAAAGATATACTAAGACTGGCAAGATTACAACCTACACCGATATATAAAGTTTTTCATATCGACCTGAATGATGCAGCAAAACGTCATGCTGATTGTTGACAGCGAAAAACCGAATAAGATAGTTGCAGACTTTACATTCTGTGGTTTAGAATTGATAGTAATCATATAAGTTCATATATATATATATATATATATATGTATATATATATATATGTATATATATATATATCGTACCGGTCTTAGTCGTAACGTTATATGTTTCTATTTTGATTGTATGACCCTTCATCATATGTATGAAAACTGTCCACAACCTCAGAAATGTATTCATTTCATGTCATTATTCGGATTCTGAAAATATACACTGATTATCACTCAGTTACTCTCTCTTCTATACATCTTTATTCACTGTAATTCTATTACATTTCTTATCTCTACTTTTATGTATTCATCAGTTCCGAGGTGTGGCACTACTTTACAAAGCTATTCTATCCTAAATTGTTTCGTCAATCTCTCTCTCTTTTTCCTTCACTTTCCCAGTGGAACATAGGGCTTCAAGCTTGTGGCTTGAAGTTTCTGTAGCAGTGTTTATTTTACAGGATGGGGTTGCTAGCCTCATGCCCAACCTTTCCTCTTCACCGGCATTATTTCTGGCTTAGCGAGGTAAAGGAGGGCGTCGGCCAGGGATCGAACCCCGGACCATGTGCATGGTCGGCGAGCGTCCTAACCGCTATGCCACCGACGCGTTTGGCGCCCCAGGTTTCATCAATCAGTCATGTTTTTTTATTTAATCAATAGACTTCTGATAATAGTTTTTCTTTTACGATTTACACTTTATTACCTTTTGCAATTAATAGTGTTCTCTGAGCTGGTTGGTTTGGTTGTGGAGCTTTCGTCGTCCTTCTGGACAACATCTTCAGGGCAAAATTTAGCATATCACTAATGAAGAAATTTAAATCATTTCACTTTATGCTAAATTTTGCGCTGAAGATGTTGTCCAGAAAGACGACGAAAGCTCCACAACTAAACCAACCAGCTCAGAGAACACTATTCATTGCAAATCATCCACCTGAGCTGCAAATCTTCTGTATTACTTTAATACCTTTTCAGAAAAAAGCTTTTCATTTAATAGTAACTTAATAATCAAGAGTAAAATGAAGGCTAACTGGTGGTGTAACACTGGCGGCCTGCTTAAAACTTGGGCTGCCAAAAAAATGCCATCTCTCTATTGCATATATTTTCTCTCCTCTAATGGTATTTATTACCTACGCTTGTGTGTATTTAAAGTGTTTGCAAGTTCCTACTAACCCTGAGGAATGGCCGGATTGTGGGTGGTAACGGGTTCCAATACATGAGATCATTGTTATTCAGTTATGTCCTTAGGTCTAAAAATGTACTCCTGAACATCTTACAATTGGTTTTCAACTAGGTATCGTGGATTTCTTGAAGTGAGGCAAAGCAGATAAATCATAATGGAATGCTTGGTGCTTCAGCTCAGAGATCATTGTGTCACAGGATATAATGTCAATTAATATATAACTTGAAGACATTGTATGAAGGGAAAATATCATGCAGTACACTACTCCGGAAATTCTGCACATTTTATAAATACTGTCCAGAATAAAGATGTTATTATCATTATTAAAATGAAAGCGATGTTGCTCATTTTACTACTTTCGGTAAAATGAAATGAACGTATCCTCTTGCTTTTGACTTCATCATCCAATGAATCTGATCATTCTTACAATCTAACTTAGATAATTTGTGATAAAGAGAACACAAAGAAGCATCCACATACAACTTACGTATCTTTTACATTAGCCTTGTGATGCTTTTAAAAGCAATACGTAAAGTAGTTCGTAGCTCAAGTATCAGACTCCAAATTACAATTTCTAACTTACTGAAACTAATCTCATTTGAAAAAGTAATAAGAATTTGTTGGGTGTATTTAAGGTGCTCCAGAAGGCACCAAACCTAGTGTTTTTGCTTTTAATGACAAACATTTACTGTTTTTGCTTTTAACTATATGCACCGGGGCTCTAGAGATACTCAGAATAAATCCTTTTTCTTTTTCAAGCACGAGAAGATATCAACTCCCACGGTGAAGGAAAAAGAAAACTGCCAACCGCCCATAACACCTTTGTTATCAATAAAATTCTGCCTGAATTTCATCTGTCTTGTGAGTAACCTTCTTAACTTCCTTCATGCCTTTGTGCAAACAGTTCTGCAATAACTTTAACTTCTTGCCCTACAACCTAAACCCACATGCTGTATTAAGGGTAGGCTCTGGAGTAAATGCATGAACTTCAATACTGTACCCTGGGGTTGAACCGAAAATTTGGCATACTGAGCCATGGAAATGTGATATATTTAAGGGATAGACACAGAAGATTCAGATTCACCTAGTCTGATCACAGGATTATGACTAAATGTTTTAAGTTTAGAGTGTCTGTAGGTCAGACAGGCCTAACGTCTTTGAATTCCAGTAAGGTGCAGTGATTCCAGTTGACAATGTATGAATACTGTCCGACAAAATGATAATTTTATAGATAAGAGAAATTGAGATACAAACGAAAGAATTTCTGCATACATACTGTCTGCATACGGTTTGGAAGATAGAGATGATTCCTAACAAAATATTCCCGGTCTCCTAAGACAAGTTAAATATTTAGATGTGTTAATTTGATGAGAATTTAATGGAGGTCAAGAGAGGTAGAAAAGCCCCTACGTTTCAATTTCAGACTTTAAACCCAGTGAACTCTTTTGTCCTAAATACACAGATAATTATATATTCCCGGGTAGTATAAATTTCAGACAAGTAGATATGCTATTACATGAGGTATTAAATTGTGTCTATCAATCAAGGAAATTGACTTACACTCACTTTAAGCGATAAGATTTGAATACTCAGGAGACGTCGCTTCTAAAATGTGGATCGCTACTTCAAGACTCGACTGTATTGACACTCCATTTGAACACTTGCTTGGGAAATCATACCAGTGTCTGATTAGTTGGTAACTGACGAAATCGTATTGATACTTTACTTGTAATAAAGCATTTCTTTAATTCATCTTTATATCTTTTGTTTTGAAGCCTTTTATGACCTTTGACTTCATGGTTTTCACTACCTTATTTCCCTAACTGCTGATTTAACCGATGTACAAATATGAAATGTAACAACTTGAAGTATGACGCGGCAATCCAAAGCCTTATATCGACGGTATCTATTTGTATCTATAAGTATTTTTATTATAACTTTAATAAAATCTAATTCCACTATTTTCCTTTTCACTAAAAGCCACAAATATACATGAGCACAAACAAAATTAAGCCTAAAAAGTAACGAAGCAACCAAAACAGAAACAGGTGTAATCTCTGTACTCTTACAAAATTAACTAGAAATTTGCTTACCTTACATACTTCGAATCCGCATTTCTATGTTTTCGAGGCTAAATAAGTCCGATTAATTGATAACAAATAAATGCAACATACGCAACCAAAGGTGGTCGGGAAACCCAAATACCGCATTTCATCAAGCATTTCATCCCACTTATCAATATCATCATCGGAATTCCCAGTGGAAGTCAACTGTTTTGTTATTTGTCGCGAAGAATTATTCATAGGAACGGGATTTTGAGTTATGTATTCATGGACAGAATCGGTGCACGAAGACTCACTTTCTGAAGAACTTGTGTTGAGTAAATTCCTCAGGGTATAAGAAACAGAGCTTAAATACTTTCTTGACGTTCCATTGGGTAGCATATTCACTCCAGTATGAGGCTTTGGTAAATGGTTGGTTTTGCTAGAAGTTGCCCAAATGGCATCTGAAGGATTTAGTTCACAAATACTATCTGTAGAATCAGAGAAAACAATATGTTTGCTAACAGGTTCCGGAAGTGTTTCTGTAAGACTCCATCCCACTTCTTCTTTCAGTATTGTATTATTTGCAACTTTGGAGAAATGTTTGGGACTAGAGTTGTTAGGAGATTCTTGGTTGGGTTTCGCCGCCACACAGCGTCTTCTTAAACCCTTAAAATCATCTCTAAACATACGTTAAGTTACATAGTATCAAAAATTCGAAAGTTAACATACCCTAGGAAAGCTCTAGTGAAGGAAACGTTTACAGGGACATTAACTGTTGCATCAGGATAAAACTGACACTGCGACAAGCATCGTACATGGCGCATTTTGATTTAAATGATAAGGTCTAAGAACCGTTGCAGTTTGATATTTGGACGGCAAGTCTAAAGGAGGAAAACCAGAGATAAGATAATTTAACACAACAATTCAATGCTTATCACCTAAAGAACGTTTCAAAGCGCTTCAAATAAGCAACACTCTATCAATATGAGCAAGTGAAATCGTGAGTCTGGAAACACCTAGAAGCATAACACACTGCTTGAAATAGTATACTTTTACTTTACTTTACTTCGGCTATTTCCTATGGGAGGATGAGCCGGCTTCATGAACATCTCGAATCATCGCTGCCCAGGCACGGCGATCTGATGCAAGGTTTTGCGTCGTTTGTAAAAGAGTTCATGAAGTTTCATGGGAATTTGGTACGAGTGATGTCCCCAGAATCGCTCGGCCTTTTCTTTGAGAGTGCAGCTCTAGCCTTTACACAACCAAGTGTGACCTACAAGGCAGTAGGAGTGGAGTAGGGAGTCCACTATCCATTGGCAGCCGGTGACCGGAGTTCGGTTCATACGCCTTTTTGAATGGGGCCAGACATCAAGGACATCCAACAAGCCCTTTGTCCATACGTCTGCCGGTGAGCTCCAGTGAGCTTCATACGCCAGTCGTTGGAGGTTTGGAATCAGGGTTTAGCCATCTCCCCTAGACTGTCATCCAATGGACAGTCAACCCGGTGAAGAGCGCCGGGCATCCGCTTTCGCCCTCTCACTTTGGTGAAAAACACCTCCGCTATGTGAAGGCAGTGGGTAGGACTTCCTCAAGAGAGGCTATGTAAGACGCCCAGTCATAAGGGAGCATTTCAAGAGGTGTGCGGAGGGGTGGCCAACCCGCAGCGCAAGGCACCCACCCCCGACCATCCTGAAATAGTATCACTGCTCCCCAATAGTCTACTGAGTATGGAATTGAGGAACCCTATTTATATAACCAGTGATGCTTTTGAACTTATTGCAACCAATTATTTACGGGAATTGGATCTTAGCGATGGATCTATTTAGCTAAGATAGACCCAATTAAGTTTTTTTTACAGCATTGTTGAGGACATACACATCAGAAAAGAACATGGCACAGAAGTGTATCAGATTAGAATTCCACGCATCCGTAGAATTGTAAAATCTGGCTGTGGTATTTAATCCAAAATCTGTAGCCCCAGCTTTAGTCAACAACGAAAGTGTTTTATTTAAAAAAACCAGCAGAAATATGGATTACTCAGCCAGTGGATCATGCGTTCAAGTCCTGCACTACCTACCTTAACCTAAGTGTATTGTATCAGCAGCTCTTACACAATGTGTGACTAATGGCCTAGTGCGTGAAAAATATTTGCCAGGTAAATGGGATCTAAGTAACTAACCACCTAAAATCTACGTTGTGACTTATCTTTCGGTAATCATTATTGCATATCCTATTGAAAATTATGCAAGAGCTTTTCAAAATCTACTGTTCGGTATGCTAGAGATGCCTGTCACCAATGTATAATGAACGAGGCTCCTCGGAGGTATGCTCTGCTTATCGTTCCTTTAAATCTATCAATAAATGTTTTTTATTAATTATTTTTTGATTATAGCTTGATTCCACGCAGTACTTTTTGGCACAACTATGGAATTTTCAGCATGTTATATCGGTAGTCCAAATTTAGCAGGCCGATCATTGATATCAGGTGTGCGTCGGCAGGAGATCGAACCCCGGACCATGTGCATGGTCGGCGAGCGTCCTAACCGCTGTGCTACCGACGCACATTTAAGCTATTCATTAGGATTATACTCGTAAAGGAGGTAGTATGTATCTTGGCCCGTGTTATTACACCAGAATACAGTGTGTGTTGAGGGCGTTTATTTCAACATGTTTTTCAGTTAACAATGGAATCTTCAGCTCTAAATATTGACAGGAATACACTGCATAGACTAAGGGATAGAAGAATAATGCCATATGGTGCAGATCGACTCAGTAGTTTTGTTTTTGAATAAACTACATACAAAATGGGTTCTTATTATTTGCCAGCCCCAGAAGAAACTGACTGCAGGGCTACTATAACTACTTATAACGAGGAGACAAACTGTAGAGATTTTCTAAAAATAAAAGAATTTATTGCACAATTAAACGCAAATGGCTGAGTCCCTAAATGCATTTATAATCGGTAAAATCTACTGTAGTAACTAAACAAAAAGACTGACATAAGTCCATTAATCGAAAAGCTTCTCCATGTACATGTGATGAAGATAAAATATAACAGCCACCAATTGGCCAAGTATGTGTGGTTTTAAGGGATTCCTGTCGGCTTGATTTACATACTTTTAACTTTAGGAGCTAGCCTTAACCATCAGATTAGGGTTATGAGTTACAAACAGGAACAATTTTCGGAATAAATGTAATATTGGCGTTGATTTAGGGCTAAGGGTCGGTCTTATCCTTTGGATGTACAATTTTTCAATGATCCTAAGTATTTTACACACTTTTATTCGGACCATCTGTATAAGTTCACTCATAGACCCCTATAAATTACTCCCACATTATATATTTGATTAGAGCTTCGCACTATATGAAAGCACCAGCTAGCGAAAACCAAGACGAACATTGGGTTCTTATCAAGGTTGAAATTGTTCACCTGAAGACATCACTATTTACGATGAGCTCGGACTTTGGCTTAAAGTTAATACATAGCCCATGAAATTTTCGCTTTGTCCCGCAAATGCATTAGGTCTACAAATCAATACATAAGCTCGATTAGCTGCAGCTAGTGTCACAACTAAACACGAAAGTGTCCAGGGTTTTTGAAGTTCCGGCACGGTCGTCTGAACAAGAATATTAAACGAGGAAATGATATCAATGGAGTTACTGACCTTACGATGAAATTCCAAGAACGTGATAACCACCTGAGAGGCCTGATGACCTTCAAGTTAAACTCCCCCCATATTCAGATTCAGATTTATTGGTTGAGGAGGCTGGACTTATCCGGCATGTTGGTTGAAATTTCGCTCGGCAAATTTTTTTTTGTCAATAATTTTTAATAAAATTTTGTTATGTGTTTTTTGGATTGATAGAAATTCTCATTTCCTGGCTAGTTATGTCGGTGTTCGCGTCATTTAATCTGACTGCGACACACCTAGCATATTGGTTGTAATGATTAGTGTTTCATGCTGAATGCGTCAAAACCTCTCTACAATGAAGAAGATGGGGTAGTTGGGGGGTAATGTCATCTACACAAATAGTTTATTTTTTGTAGAAGCTGCAGCTTTCGACAAAGTGTCATTCAATGAAGACTACGTCAAAATGTGGCTATTTTCGTGTGAAGAACAGTACTATTTTACAAAAGAATGCTATCACTACATGGGAAACACCTATAAATGCCAACAGAACGTAAAACCAATGTGTAAACGAACGGCTACGGAACTGCAATCCAACATAACCGACTAACATAGACGAAAATGACCTTTGAGCATCTCAATCCATCAATGACCTTGAGCATGCGGGATAATTTCAGCCGTTGAGGATAGAAGGCTTCAATATCCAATATCCAATATCGTTTTTACGAGCTAGTATAAACCAATTCGATTTCTTTGTGCTCGCCTCTTGATCGTGAGGTAGAGGTTCCTGATCTTCGGTAAACGTCTGCGTAGCTCGTCCCGCCACTCGACTGCCGTAGCTTTCGTTGACTCCAAAAGGAGTAGTGCAGGGATTAATTATATGTGGTTTGTAGTATGAAGTGTGTTAAGACTGTTACTACTGTGAATGGAGTTGATCCTTTCACCAGTTGGTCCTTCGGTATCGTCGTCAATAGAAAAGAGATAATAATAATAGTAGATATAATTAGTGAAGTTATTCAGACTAACAGACAGAAAAAGAATGAGAAAACGTAACAACAGTCCGTCAACCGGTATATATATATATACCGGTAATAATGATAATAATAGTAGGTGTAGTTAAAGCTGTCAGGAGAGTAAGACGGGAGAGAATGTAAAGAAGTAAAACGACCAGTCTACCTTTGAATAGTGTATGCGATTTTAAGGGGATAGGCCATTTAGATGAAGTCCTTGTGTCGATGCGTGGTTGTCCAGTCTTCGCTTAAAGGCGTCCACAGATGGTGCCATAGCTACATTTGCCGGTAAGGAATTCCAAGGATGGCAAACCCGCAGGGAAAGAAGTGGGAGCGCACCCGGGTCCTTGCCCTCTGATGAGCTATCCTTCTAGGATTTCCACGAGGGAGCCTATACCTACTCAATGGCAGAACACCTTTGTTTCGGTGATTCTGATCATTTGTTGTTTTGTAGGCAGTAATTAAATCCCCCCTAAGACGACGGTAATTAATTGTGAATAGGCCTAATTTCTTCAGCCTTTCATCATATGGTTTTTTTCGGAGACCAACCACTCCTTTTGTTGCCCGTCGTTGGACTCTTTCCAAAAGGTTGGCGTCTCTTTTAAACAGTGGGGGTGCAATGATATTGTGCACTTCAAGATGCGGTCTGACGTATGTTTTATACAACCTTAGAAAGAGCTCAGGAGTGAGTGCACCTAACTGTCTATGTGTAAAGTGTATGACCGCATATGCCCTCACTACATCCCCCGTGTAATTTACGCTTGTGTCCATTTTCTCCGTTAGAACTAGACCTAAGTCACGTTCCGACGTTGAGCAGGACATGCTTTCATTGCACAGGGTGTAACTTGCATTCTGCAGTCTACAGGTGCGTAACTTCACTACTTTGCACTTTTTCAGGTTGAAAGTCATGCCACTGGCTACCGCCCAGTCTTCCAGAAGCCTTAGGTCTGCCTGCAGTCTATCTGAGTCCTCCGGACACTTTATCGCCCTCCATATCTTCACATCATCAGCGTATAGAAGAGTCGGGCAGCTTAGACGGCATGGTAAATCATTGATAAAAATCAAGAATATCAATGGTCCCAGGATAGAACCCTGCGACACTCCTGATGACGAGCTGTGCCACGGTGATCGGACTCGGTTGACCTTGGTGCAAAATTGCCTTTCAGTTAGGTAGTCCTTCAACCATGACATAAGTGGTTTACCTAACCCTACTTGGCTTATTTTGTGTAGGAGAAGGTCATGGTGAACAGTGTCAAATGCCTTCTCAAAGTCTAGAAAGATCACATGGACTGGAACATTCATATCCCAGCATGATGTCCAGTCGTCCCAAGCTGATAATAAGTTGGTGACGCAGGATCGCCCTTTCCTGAAACCGTGTTGGGCTTCATGGAGTATTTTAGACCTATCAATATATTCCCTGATATGATCATCAACAATACTTTCCAGTACTTTCGATACCACTGGGAGTAGAGCTACTGGTCTATAACTGGTGGGATTTTGCCTATCCCCACCCTTGAAGATCGGAGAAAGGATGCTTCTTTTCCATTCCTTTGGCAGTTTCCCCGATTCCATGGAGTGTTGGAACAAGTCGCATAAAGGCCTACAGAGAGCTTCGGAGCACTGTTTCAGAACAGATGGCCTGATGTCATCACGACCTGGGGACTTTCCAGGTATGAGTCGCTGCAGCTTTCTCAGTACTATTGCAGGGTTTATTTGGGGGGTGGCTGTTTGGTCTTCCTCCTGTGAGATAGTGATGCCACCATTTTGGTCCGTAACGGTAATACCCACATTGCTGTTTAGCTGTTTGGCGAAGGCTAAACTAAATGTTTCAGCCATTTCCAGACTAGTGAGATATTGACCGTTTTGGCCTACTAAGGCGCACGCCCCCTGGTTGGTTGGTTTTCTTTCCGACATGAATCGGTACAAATTCTTCGGGTTTGCCAGGAGTTTTTTAGCAAGGTTAGCCTGGAATGACCTTCTGTCCCTCCTGACTCTTGCATCGCACCGTCTCCTGAGTTCCAGGTATGCATCATGGTCGATCTGGCTTTTAGATACGCGTCACGTAAACCAAGCCTTCCGCTTTGCTTGCAGAATACGCTGCGTGCCTCTCTTTAACCATGATGACTTTCTTTTGGGCTGTGTTGTGACTAAAGGGACGGTATTCGAGATTGCTGTATGAATAATCTTTTTTACCGCTTCCCAGTGTTCATCCACAGACAGCTCATCCCATGCTAAGGGCCAGTCTGCGTCGGAAAAGAGCCTCCGCATTTCAGCATAGTCAGCTTGGCTGTAACACAGTCATGGTTGCGTAACGTCCCACTCCAAATGCTCACGGAGAACGAGGTCGAAACCTATGACTGCATGGTCACTACTTCCTAGACGAGTCATGATCTGGACCTTTTCGACAAGAAGTTGGTCACTAGTTAGAATGTAGTCTAGTTTTGATGACTTTCCACTAGGGCTCCACCTAGTGTCGCCTCCAACGTTCTCAGTCAGTCCCGTGTTCCGAATAGCTTGCAGTAGATTTCGGCCGAATTTTCCCTTAGCATACCCCGAGCCAAGGTTCAGTGATGGGGCATTGAAATCTCCAGCAATGGTGATTTGGTCATAGCCCAAGTCTCGTATCCCTGTGATAGTGCTGAGCAGTAGCTGATTGTGCTCTGCCCCACAGGTGGGAGATCGGTAGATGCCACCAAGTAAATGCTCTGTGTGGCCTACGGTGAAATGACACCATATGGAGTCTGGGAGTTCAAGGCTTGGAGCCTATGTTAATCCTTTCCTAGTAAATTTATGTGGTTGTCCAAACCCTTCTTGAACGAATCAGCTGAGGTTGCAGACACCACTTATTCTGGGAGTCGGTTCCAAGAGTTTATGACTCAGTGTGAGAACCAGTACTCAACAGCGATATGATTTCTTCTTGGCTCTTGATCTCTCCTGCTATGTCCTCTGAGGCGTTCCGACCTGGTGAGAAGGAAAAGAGAAAATAGGTGAGGTCCGTAGTCATTATTTAAAATTTTAAACATTGTGATTAAATCTCCTCTCTGCCTACGGTATGACAAGGAGAAAAGATTTAAACTGTCTAGTCTTTCCTCGTATGATAAGTTAGTCATGCCATGAATCATACGTGTTGCTTTCCTTTGAACCCTTTCTAGAATAAGTGAGTCGCCTTTTAGACAAGGGCTGGCGGCCTGGATGCAGTTTTCCAGTCTTGACATCACCAGAGATGTATATAAGGAGGTGAACATATCTCTGGTGATTCTAGTGAAAGCTCCACGATTTGCCCATAATGACCTGAAACTACGTGCAGCCACCGCTCGGCAGTGTGCTGTAGTTTTTAAGTCGTGGCTAACTATGACACCTAAGTCCAAGTGAGTCCGAACTGATGGAAGTGTAATTCCCTCTAGTTCATAAGAGCTCGTGCTTGCTTGTCCAATGCGTATGGTTGCACATTTTGCCACATTTATCGGGAGCATCCATTCTATGGACCACTCTGACAATTTGTTGAGGTCCTCTTGCAACGTGGACGTGTCACTGTTGCCCTTCAGCTCTCTCCAAATTTTTAAGTCATCTGCGTATAGGACCATAGGGGAGTCGGTGAGCAGAGATAACTCATTGAGGGGTCCGAGTACCGTGCCTTGTGGCACTCCGCTGCGTACTGCTGTCCAAGAGGAGAGTTTCGACTTGATTCTAACCCTCTGCCTCCTATCTATCAGGAATTCCCTGAGCCAGTTTAGTAGGCTGCCTTTGATGCCAAGACTTTCCAGCTTCATGAGTAGTCTTTTGTGGGGTACTTTATCAAAGGCTTTACTGAAGTCTATGAAGACGACGTCAACGGGTCTTCTGCTGTCCCTGGATTTGACCCAGCTCTCTCTTGCAGTGAGAAGATTTGACAGGCATGAGAGGTTCCTTCGGAAGCCATGCTGTGCTCTATTTTCTAGATATGCCATTATGCTTTTCTTGATGATTCTCTCCAGTATCTTAATTAAAGTGCTGGTGAGATTGATAGGCCTGTAATTTGAAGGGCTTTGCCTTGATCCTCCTTTGTGGATGGGGGTTACTATGGCGTCTTTCCAGTCACGCGGTAACACTCCACT